AATGCTAGAGAACTATAATAATTAAAAAAAAAATTTCCCTCTGAAACAAGACCAACCAAAATCCTGGAGAAGCTGTTCCCATAAGGGACAAACTTATAAAAAGCAAGTAGATCTGAGTGGTGCAAGAGGTGGACTGCCTGTATACTGTGGTGCACTTCCCACATTTCCTCCTTAGGGACAATGACCCCATTCCCCAGCAGCTAAGAATATCAGTTACCAATGACTCAGCTGTGTCCTTTGATAGACAACAGCCTCAGCTTCAGGAAACTGCCTCACCCAAGGTTATTCCTTCCGAACCCCCAAGGAAATGGCCTAGAAACAATGGCTGGCTGATGTGGGGATATAAGGCCCAGCCCTCTTGCCTCAGTTTGGGACAACTCTCAGCTCCAGAGCTTCCTGTAGGATCAGCTGAGGCCTCAGTTTCAACCACATCTCAAGTCAGCTTCTCCCTCTGCCCAATCTTGCCTTCCTCTCTTCCTTACAGGTGTATCCCAAGAGCACTCTCCAACGAACCTTCTACATGAAGCCCCCATCTCAGGTATATTTCCAGGGAACCTAACATATCATGAGCACCCACCTTCTCTGAAGGAACTTCTCTCCCAACTCTAGTCATGTGGCTCCAGCAGGAGCAAACACCACTGTCCAATTGTCCAACTTGCACTGCCCAGACTCATACTTTTATGTGTTCCAAGCTCTTGTCAAGATCCCATCTGATTCACAGCATTCTAACTGAGCCTCAAAGTTGTGAGACTTGGGGTAAATCATTGTTTTGGGCTTTTCCCAGAAGACTCAACAAATGAAAGAGGTGGGATTTAAATTGGGCTTTGGTGTTCTCCTGGAGAACAGAGCTATGGGAGATCCGAGAGTCACCGGCTCCTTGAGCTAGAGGGATGCACCCCTGTTGACTGATGTCTGATTTCAGTCAGATGGACATTCACCCAGGGGAGAATGTTAGTTATTTTGGGTCTGGAGGAGGGCTGAAGATGTGGAATTGACCATCTTGGAAGAGCAGAAAAGTGTCTTTGAGCTCTCTCATTTCAGACCAGGCAGGTGGCAGGTCAACAGGACAGAACAGGTGGCACAAAGAGCCAGGGAGGCCTATTTTTGGAAGATACACTGAGACAACAACCTCATGAGCCTGTGAGAGGATTTTTTTCTTTTGAAAATACTTTTTAATGTCCTAGTGTTCCACTTTCCCAGGAACTGAGCGGCTGCTGCCTTTCAGAGGAGCCATAAATAGTCCTAGCAGTTTGAATAACTAATGCAGCACAATGACAGTGGGGAGGGCTAGGTGTTCTGGGGAACCTGCACACCTGCCAACCACGGGACTAAAAACATGGAGGCCCTGGCCTGACTGGCAACACAAATGCAGCTGGGGAAGAAAAGGGCAGGACCTACTCCCAAGGCGCTCAGCAGTGTGAGTAGGAGAGGTTTATGCTGATATTCCTTGGGGGAGCTTCAAAATGGAGCAGAGGACTCAAGTGTGAGTGGCTGACCTGCCTGAGTGGAAGATGCCAAACTGGGAAGGGGATTGTAGCTGAGGCTAAGGTCACACACAGCCTGGGGTGGGAACTGAGCCAGCACAGCTGCTCTCAGACCTGCTGTCAGTAAGCTCTGACCTAAGCAGGGATGCCACAGTGAGTAGTGCAAGCTCAGCATCATCCCCTCAGGAACTGATGTGTTCATGTTGGTTTCCTTCAAGAGGTGCCCTTATTGATCTGAGTGGCTTATCTCAGGTTTTTCCTGGAGGTTCTGAGACATAGTGGGTGGGTCTCTTCTTGGCACAGATAAACAGAATGCAAGAAATCACTGTTTTCCTATGTGCAGAGAATTATACTGAGGCTCAGTGATCATGGGCCCTGACATGGAATTAAGTCAACAGTTGAGCAGTCCCCAAATATGACTTTGTCTGGCCCCATGTTATTGAGCCCCTGCTCCTATTACCATCAGGATATCATACTCTAGCCTCGATTTTCTCCTCTTTCATCATTTGAGAAGCTAAACACCTAAACACTTGTTTTGGAGAGATGTGCTTCCAAACTCGAGATGCCTATGAGATGTCGAGGAACAATCTGCCTTGAGGCTGGGGCACTGGGCTGTGCCCTTAAGGAAAGTGATGCTTAGCTACTTTTATGCCAGAACACTTCTACCTGATCCCTCCAGGGCAAAACCAGAAACGTCTCACTCAGTGGGCGGAGATGTGACTCATAGGCACTGGACTGTTCCTCATTTCCTTTGGCTTGCAGGAAAAATGCAACAGATGTGCTGCCAATAGCTTTTTCCAGGGCATATTAGTATTTTTGTCTTCTCTTTCCACAGAAGTCCTGTCCTGTATGTTCTGTCACCTGTGGGGAAAAAAGATCTTTGACTCACTGAAGACAACTTCTATAAAAACCCTCTGCCCTGTGTCTTTTGCGAGAGCAGCTACATGCGTCATTCCAGGCCCACCTACCCCCTACTTAAAATCAGTAGAATGTAAGGGGGCACCAGAGAACAATCTCAGGCATTCAGTTGTGTGTTGTTGTTGTCGAAATGTGTGTATAGGGCTTCTTTGGCATAAATTCCAAAACAAAACTTGAGGAGCATCCATGGTGATTGCATACAGAGAGAATCTGGTGGCTCTGTCCCCCAACCTTGTTCCCTCATCCACACAGACTCACCTCCAGCAGCTGGTGCTTGTGAATTAGGCCGTGTGTAGACATCTGTGAGAAAAGGGAAACCACACAGTCTCTTTGTGTCTTACTGGCTGCTTTGTTTCCCTACTTATTGCTGAGGTCTTGTAACTTTTCATCAAGGCCTATGAAAGGTATGCATTCTGATCAGTGAGGTCTGTGATTTCTTTGATTGGGATAAATACCTTTCAATTACAGTTTGAAGGATTGCTTAAAGTGAAGTTATCCCTGGAGAAATAATAGACTTACTGGCTAAATCCATACTAAGGTATGATATCAGATCCTCCAGCAGGATTTGATGGATCAGATTCCTGATGGAGGGAAATAGATAAAAGGGACATAAAAGTGGGAGGCTGTGCCTATCGACCCCATGCCAAGCCAGGACTGGCAAGCAGATTGCTCCCTGTGGGGCTTCCTTGGCTAAAGCCGAAAGCTGCTGCTCCCCACTGGCCTCCTCCCCTCCAGGGCAGTCAGATGGGTCCTGCACACAGAAGCAGCCTGCCTGCATTTGAGGGAGGAGCAATGAGGCTCTCTGCCTGAGGCCCTGGAGGAAACTCATAATCTTAGAGGTGTTGATCAAAAACGCATGAAGAAGTGTTGCCCTGGATAAGACAGTGGGGAGTCGCCAGGCGGGAGGACTAATCAGGCATACCCAAGCAATGCTAATGCTAGCAAGCTACCATGGTCTGGGGCAGGGGGCAATCTTGACTTTCACCCGAGCGCCCAGACAGTGCAGTGTAGCACATCATGTGATCCAATCAGGCGCAAACTTGCCTCCCTAAACTCTGTTATCCTCCATGTCTGACCTCTTCCTTCCTTGCCAGTCCTTTCTCCCACCATTTCTCCACCTGGACAAGACCTCTGCTGCTCAAACCAGATGGATACATTGCTTAACCTCTTGAACTCATCTCACTGCACTTGACTTTTCCCCTTTGTTCACACTCATTCTTCTGGTTGGCATCTCCTCTCTTCTCACCTCTACCTATATTACTTGACTTTCAAGGTCCACTCGTCATTTTAATTCACACCTGTTCTATCTTCACTGAATTCTACTTTGTGCCAAAATTCCTACAGCAATCCTGTAAGGCAGAGATTATTATTCCCACTTTACCAATGAGAAAACTGAGTTCAGAGAAGCCAAATCACTTGTCAAAGTCAGACAAAACTGACAGAGCTGGGGCTCAAATACATGAATGAAGTAGTGAATTAATGAGAGACTAATAAGCACATGAAAAGACGCTCAGAATCATTAGTTGTGAGCAAAATGCAAATCAAAAGCACAATGAGAAGCCACTTCACACCCACTAGGCTGACTATAATAAAAAACACAGACAATAAGAAGTGTTGGTGAGGATATAGAGTAATTGGAACCTTTGTCCATTACAGGTACGGAAGAAAATGGCACAGCCACTCTGGAAAGTTTGTCTTGTCAGTTCCTCAGAAAGTTAAACATAGAACTGCCATATGGCTCAGTAATACCACTGAGTATACATACAAGAATTGAAAATATATTCCCACAAAAACTAGTAATTAAACGTTCATAGCAGGACTATTCATAATAGTCAAAAGGGGGAAACAACCCCAATGTCCATCAACAGGTGAATGGATAATGAAATGTGTAATACATATACAATGGACTATTATTTTGCCATAAAGAGAAATGAAGTTCTGATACACGGTACAACAGGGATGAACCTTGAAAACATTATGCTGAGTGACATAAGTCAGTCACAAAAGACCACATATAAAATGTCCAGGATAGGCAAATTGGTATGAATTTTAACCAATGGAGAACAGATGCAAGAGTGTGACCAGCCAAATGTGGATCAATGACATCCTCTTTCTATAGAGTCCTCCTGTAATGCAAGACTGGAGAACAGAGTGGGCCTTTCGGCTCCAGCCCTGAATTGAAGAGCACATGCCCCCCTGCAGGGCTGACCTGACTTATCTCTCCAGCTGCATGCAAGAAGCTAAAGGATGGCAGGCGTGCTGCCCATCCTCCCTGTAGGGATGTCCTGTCTGGAGAAGCCTACTACCTTGAGACTAGGGGCGCTAAGTCCACCTCACCGGAGCACTGTTAGGCATGAGAGGAAAAACGAAGATAGGAGGCACCTGCGCAAGTCCAGTCCAATGGAGAAACAAAGTCCAGGGGCTGGTCTGTCCCCAACCTCACCCATCTCTAAGCCAGCCCTCCTGGCAGCCAGTGGCAGAAAAGGCTGACTGCCATCCTCCACACTTTCCTGCAAGGGCAAAAGTGCTGGCAGACATTTCCTCCATATGGTTCAGTTCACAGAGGAAGAATGTTCTGACAGTACAAAGTGGATAACCTCCAAATCTCTATCTCCAGTCCCACTTTCTTTTCTCTATCACAGACACAAATGCAAACAGTTGTTGACTAGCCTTTCCAGATGGATGACTCATAAACTCAGCACCTCCACCCCCACATGCCACTCCCAAAGCTGCCCTTCTCCCCAAATTCCACTCAGTAACACAATTCCACTCACTAAATTCTCTCAAATCACACTCTTCTCCATCCCCACTACTGTATTTTTAGTTCAGAACTTCACTGTCTTTCTCCTGGTAGGCAGGGAATGATAGTTCTCCCCCAGTATTTGTTTTTTCCTGCTTCTTAAGTAATAGAATCCTCAAGTTTTATTCTTTTCAGCTGCACGCAGTGCCAGCCAGAGCAAAGACTGTCCCTCAGTCTCCTTTGCAGCTAGATGTAGCAAGTGACCAAATGCTTGCTGACTGATGGGATGAGTCATGTGTGACTTCTTCCAGAGAACTGCTTTATAGATACATAGATATATATTTTATTTAGTTCATTGTTGTTGTTGAGAATATACACAGCAAAACATACACTAACAGTTTCTACATGTACCATTTAGTGACATTGATTACATTCTTCAAGTTGTGTAACCATTCTCACCCTCCTTTCTGGGTTGTTCCTCTTCCATTAACATAAATTCATTGCCCCCTAAGGTTCCTATCTAATCTTTGTAGTTGCTGTTGTCAATTTGATCCCATATAGATCTTAAAAGAGCATAATGCTCAAGGCAGACGTTTTTTACTAGTCAAGCTAAACTATTTGGTTTTAAGAAGACTTCAGGGGATATTTTTGGTTTAAGGTTTAAAGATTATCTCAGGGTAATAGTTTCAGGGGTTCATCCAACCCTTGTTGCTCCAGGAAGTCTGGAGTCCATGAAAATCTTCAATTCTGTTCTACATTTTCCCCCTTTTGATCAAGATTCCTCTATGGAATCTTTGATCAAAATGTTCAGTAATGGTAGCCGGTCCCATGAGGTTTTTTGTTGTACATAAGTAGCCTCATCAGCTACTGTTTGTGTGTGTGTGTGTGGTTGTTGTAAATATGACTATCACACAACTTTCACCAATTCAACTTTTTATGGATGTACAACTTATTGGCAGCAATTACAATGATCAGCTGTGCAAACCTACCCTTAAACAGTGTGATATTTCCATCACCCTTAACCCCTCCTCCTTTCCTCCTTTCTCCCTTCGCTGGTAACCACTAATAAACTTTGGTCTCTATACATTTGCCTTTTCTTGTCTTTATATAAGTGAGGTCATACAATATTTGTCCTTTTGTAATTGACTTATTTCACTCAGCATAATATCTTCCAGCTCCATCCATATTGTAGCATGTATCAAGACTTCATTTCTCCTACTGGCTGAGTAGTATTCCACTGTATGTATGTACTACATTTTGTTTATCCGTTCATTGTTAAGTTGTCGAAGTTTTATATGTATTTTTGTTATTAGATTCTTGTTGATTACATGGATTCTGAAGATATTCTCCCAGTTGGTAGCTTGTCTTTTCACTTTTTTGAAAAAGTCTTTTGATGAACAAAAGTTTTTTTTTTTTATAATTTTTATGAGGTCCTATTTATTTATTAGAGACCTGGTGGCACAGTCGTTAAGAGCTTAGCTGCTAATCAAAAAGTCAGCAGTCTGAATCCACCACGTGCCCCTTGGAAACCCTATGGGACAGTTCTACTCTATCCTGTAGGGTTGCTATGAGTCAGAATCAACTCAACAGCAACGGGTTTGGTTTTGGTTTTTTGGTATTTATTTATTTTGTCTTTTGCTGTTTGTGCTTTTGTTATTATATTAGATAACCCATCGTTGACAGCTAGTCCTGACAGTGTTGCTCCTCCTTTTTCTTCTAAGAATTTTATGGTTTTAGTCTATATATTTAGGTCCTTAATCCATACTGAATTTATTTTTATGTATTGTGTGAGGCATGGATCCTATTTCACTTTTCTGCAGAGAGTTTCTTAAAGGGAAAGATGTCCTTCTTTGTCCTTTTCTTCCTTCTGCTGATGGCTACAGCTCAATCAGCCGTTTTGGACTGTGAAGTGAAACCTACACATTGAGGATGATGGTCCCACAATATAGAAGGAATTTGGGTCTCTGATGATCGTGGAACCACCATGCTTCATCTTTTATAAAATAGCTAGCTTTATTTATGTATGTATGCATGTATTTATCTACTTATTTATTTTTTATTTATTGTCACAGGTCAAATCTTCTCCTAACACTCCTGGGTTACTCTAAGACCTCCAAACTGGGCTTTCTGCTCTAGGTCAGTGACATCAAATCCACCATCCAAGCTATCCCGGAGTTGTCTTTCTAATATGCAGCTTTGGTTG